AAAACATAGATTTTTCGAGTTTTTGACAGTTTGTCAGTATTTTTCATTTTTCTCCGTCAAAACTTTGTTTAAATCAAAAAATAAGGCCAGATTCGGAATCAGCAGCATACAACGAATCCGAATATGTATGTTTAAACGAAAAATAAAAAGTGCTGAAATTTTGAATTACCGGCGCCTTATGTTCGATGGACTCAAAACAGAATTGAGTCAATAAAAGTTGAATTTACTGTTTTCATCGGTAATAAATGCGTGCATCTGTAAGCAGAAAAATAAAATACAATGGTGAATGCATTTAATAATTTTGGGATCGATCTGCAATAAAATAACGTTCTTAATTCGAACGGTTCAGTAAGATTGAAGTGATAGTTTTTCACTGTGGATCGATTAAGATTGGTACATATTCATGTCTGTAGGGTCTTTAACGACAAGCTTTACTTGTGATCTCTTATAGGCACAAGTTTAATGTACAAAGAACTACTTAGAACAACACCATCATCAATCAGTTTTATTCTCCACGATATAAATATAAAACAAATATTAACATCAAATCAGCAACAACAAACATTGTACAAATTTCCAACTTTTAGTACAAATATTGATTCCATTATGACAATAAAAAAACCAAATGATATAGTTTTAACAGTTGAATCAAAAATAGATTATTTTTATTATTTTATTAAACAACTTATAATGAATGATTGGAATGGTTTGATAAATTCATTGATATTATTTATCCAATAATTGAATGGTTAAGAGATTATCAAGTTGATGGTGTAAATCAATTAATTCTAGATCTACACAATAAAAATGATAAATCACCATCGCTTATTCAGGTTAGTGATCAGCTATGAAAGACATCGAATATAAAAATAGATATTCTAAACTCACCGATAGATTGTCGACTTTTCTTCTGTCCTAAATGTATGATAATTTAAACAAATAGTTGAAAAAACATTAAAATTATTAAAATCATTCAGTGATTTATGGCGTTTATGTTATTTATTTAATTGTTTAACAAAATTTCAAATTATTAACAATGGTACAATAAATAATCAACAACAAACACAAGATTATATTAAAGAATTAAAACATTCATTATCAAATAATACATTTATTGTTGATGAAAAATGTCAAAATGAAAAATTATTACCAATTAATGAAAAAGAAAATGTATAATGGTCATTAGCATTTGAAAATTTACCATGTAATATTGAAATTACTTTTATAGATGGAATAAATAATCATTGTGAAGTATTATATAAACAAGACAATATAAATATTAATAAACAAGTTTTATGTGATGAATTTGAAACACAACGGAGTGGATTTGCCACCATTATTATTTATAATCAACAACAGCAACGATCAAGAACAATTTGGCATCGTTTAAAACGTCGAAATTTATCAACATGCCATCTATTTGATGGTATATTTAGTATGTTTTATCAACGTATTTATCCTTAACAAACAATAATAAAAGATAATGAAGCTAGTCAGTTAGTCGATGAAGTATTTAAATTTATTGATCGTTTATTAAATGGTACAATTAATCTTAATGAAATGTCTGAATTAAAAACAATCTTTTGT